TAATCTGAAAATAATAATTTTTAATTTACATAAAATAAACTTAGGTATATATTTATTACCATGAAACGAGAAGGCTAAACGGATAGCTTATTATTTAATCAAAATAATAAACTGGTATATATTATATAAATATATATATATAACGCGAATACGACCGATAATTGAACGTCAAACGTCAAAATATTACCATATAAGGCGAAAACTCCAGAAAAATCATTATTGTCATTCGAGTCTAGTTTGGACGTCGACGAGGATATCGAGGAATAATCAAATATTATAATATCGAATAATCGATTATCAATAAAATAAATACTCATTTTGATGCAAATTATAAATTCTACTTTCGACTACCTGAGGGTGGTGCAAATTACATAACCTTATTATAGTGCAAATTACAAACACTACTTTCGACTACCTGCAGTAGTTCAAATTACATATCTTTAATTTGGTGCAAATTGCTAACTCCCGATTGAAACTCGCAGTTTATTAATTTGGAAAAAATTTCAAATTCACAATTAATTTGAAGAAATATTATCCTTTATTTTGAATCAAAAATTTAAAGGGAAATTAGCCAACCACTTCCAATTAGCTTTTTTAAAAAATATATTTTAATGTAAGTATTATAACAATGAAATAAACTAGTTTTTTTTTAAATTAATTGTGTGAATACTTTATGATTTAAATCACTCCTTATATATATATATATATATATAAATTCTTAGAATATACTTTATTCACTTTTTATAATATGCATAACCTCAATAGTTCGAATTAAGAATAAATTCATGAATTTTCTGACTTTAAAAGTTTTATTATTAATGCACAAAATATAATATGTTAATAATACTCGTATAATACTGTACATATTCGTAAAATTTTAATAAAAAATTAAAAATATATATATATATTTGAGTATTATTTTTTAATTTAGAAAATAGTTAATCTAGTACGTAAACATTATCGGAAAATTTATTTATAATTTTTATTTTTAAAATATACGCCAGAAGGTATTCAGTACAGATAAATGTTTACATATAAAAATGTGAAAATGTACATACAATTAGATAGTTAAGTTATTTTTATATGTGATAATCTATGGATTTTATATCTTGAAAATAAATTGCAATTTAAATTAAATTAAACTTTTAGTTATGCACTACGAGTATATATAAACTTATGTCTTATGTCATTATGTCAATATGTTTTCAATTGTAGGGCGTGATTTTTTTAAATTTCTTTCAAGACAAACTCCACAATGGCATTATAAGTATAATGGTACTCCGTTGTTTTAGTCCAGATCATTTTTAAAATAATCCATACTTTCTAATTAATTTATAACTAATACATATACTTGTTAAATGACAAATGTACTCGTTAGTCGTCATTCGTGTTTTAGTATACAATACTATTCAACTTATTTAATATTCAACGAAAAGCTATTGTCTTATTTATTTTTTCGACGACTTAAACTATCAATTGCTTTGCTTCACTTTATCGACTTTACATAAACGTCAAACATCCATGGAATAAGAACTCTTTTCTACTCTTCGACCACAATTTAAATTTTTACTTTCCTAACGATATCCCATCAATACATTAACCGTAATATAATTTATCCACAATCGTATTATTTTATCAGAACCTTTGAAAATTACAACGGTTAAAAATACGTTTTCCTATTCATATATACACACACAATAATTTATCAATTCATATAGGTATTATTCAACATCGTAACCATTTAAAAATAATTAAGTATACAAATATCAAGCTTGGATCAGTGACTGCTCGTCAAACTTATATCTATTTTAACCGATGTACATAAAGTGATGGTTTTTTTTTTCTTATTGACTTTATGTTTTTCATCTCCGATTTTTACACCGCATCGCCTACATTGCCCTATTTTTTTTATCCGTATTCCTCATCCGTATGGTTTAAATAAAAATTAAAAGAAAAAAAAAAAATGCCTCGTGGTTAATATTATCAAAGTAATATAAGTATTGTTAACTATGAGTTTGTATGCTTATTGTGCAAAAGTCATCAATACAGTTGTCATCAATACAAAAGTTTGCCAAGAATTCATAAAAAAAAAAACTTAAATAGCGCAATCGAATTAAAAATGGACACTAGCATGCTGTCGGCGAGGCCAAAGACTACCTATTTTTATGTTTATTTAAATTAAAAAAAAAGGTGGTATATAAACTATTTGTCAAAAAATAATGAGATGTTTACCATCTCAAGTGTTTATCAAGTAATGGCCCTCAAACTTACTTAACGTGACCTCATCGAAATACTAATTTATTTTTAGGGACCTGAAATCGTGCACGTTTCAAAATTTTATAAAGAAGCCATCGAAGGGAAATACCTTAGCAATATAGCTACAGATGCCAAGACTCTGTACGAAACGTTTCGGAAAGGCGCAAAAGTTTCAAGTAAAATATTAAATATGTTACGGGTAATATGGAATACTGGGCAATGTACGCTTTGCCAGGGTAATTTAGGTCTGGCCGGGAAATTTGAACCTGGAATAGGAATAAATAACTGTACAATATTTTACTTATAAATTATTATAATTGTATTATTAGTAGTACTAGTAATATACATATATTATTAGATTATGAATATTATAAAACAATGTTATTTAATTTTATTGTTTTGTTTGTATATAAATATTTCGAAACAAAGTTTAAATTACAATTAAGTATTAATTTATTATTATATTTTATAGTATTACATTTTAGAATTAATTTTTATTTATTTTTACAAGGTTATGGAATGGAATGGCATTTAGAATTACAAATTCTACCTCCTTTTTTACATTTGAATTTATTGATTTATTGGTCTTATAAAGCTGCGTATAAGTGCACCGATAATATCCCTGTCCTATTAAATTAGAAAAGGCACGGGTAACTTCTCGTAGTGAAATTAAATTATTCGGTACATCATTAATCTGTACACATTTTTCTTTACAAATCGTAAATTGGTTTATGCTGTACAGTTAATGCAGTTTTCCTTGAGTCGTGCCGATTTTATAGAAGTTATCAATTACTAAAATACATTTTATAATGTTAATAGTTTTTATAAAATTATATTTTATAAATATATAAATATATTTTATAAAATTAGCTTATTAATAAGTTATTAAGTTATAACTAGATATTATTACGCTAAGAACACATCGAAGGTCACTGCGTGCTCTATACTCATTTTGACTTTAACTGAATCTCCAATATTTTCTTGGCAAAATCGTTTTTCGTACATTTCCGTCATTTTGGTTGCTTGGAATTTTAGATTATTTTATGACTCGTGTCGGTTTTGGTTTATCGATATTTGTCTTGTTTTTGTTTTTTCAATTAATTTTAGAGGATGTACCAATTACGATTTTTTGTAGCGTTGATTTTGGCAATTTATGCGTTTATGTATTAATTGTCTGGAAAAGCACGAAAACTCGACTGGTTAATCGTAAAAATCCATTATTGTTCATATATCCTTGCCTGATTTCATCGAAATAGCAATTCATGTTATCAATATGATATGATTATATGGGAAAACAGTAGTTATAAGATAGGAGAATATTAATAGAGAGAAAGAAATATTATAGGGGTTGGAGCGTGATTCATTTTCAGTCATAACTCACTACATCAATCACTACACCTAATATAATGTTCTGATATTAATTTTGAAAGCAGATTTGAATTTGTCACTAAATTATCTATGCTTTAATAATTTCATTTTTCTGGTTTTTTTTCTTTGTATGATAGTTAAAGTATAGTAAATTTAGAGGAGAATCCAAATCTGTTTTCAAAATTGACATCGGAGCATACAACTGAGCAAAGTGATTGAAGTCGCCAGCAATATTTTTCGTAAAAAAAAAAAGTAGTTGTAATTTTATACGAAAAACAATGTTTGACATTTGCATGCGCGTAGGTGAATAGGTACCTGCTCACTCCAATGGCTCAACAATTTAATTTGTATTTCCGGGAACCGACCGTATAACTGATAATTATTATTTATTTTTTTTTTGACAAGGCTTCAAATACAAAGTTCATTAACCTATAGTAAACTAAAAAAAAAAAAAAGATAGAAAATAGAAAAGAAACGATTAATTATAATATAGGGATTACAAAGGCGGTGTTAATGATTATATAATTCAATAGCATTAATGGTGTTTAAGGTTGTTCTTTGAAGGGGTAAAACTAATGTATCACAGGCTTAAATTAGTGAGGATAGTTCTGCTGTTTTAATGAAATGGATAATGTTGGTTTCCTGTTCGTGGCCGAAGGCTTCTTTAGGTGATGTGATGAGTTTTAACAATGATCTGGCGAAGTTGAAATTTGGGCACTCGAGGAATATGTGGTTTACCGAGAGAGTACATTGGCATGTGTCACAAGTGGTCTTTACTTAATAGGTAAGAGTGAGTTAGCCTAGTGTGGCCTATGCGCACTCTGGTAATTATTACTTCATATTGTCTGTTGAAGTTATTGATTTGCGGCTCCACCCATGTGTTGATGGAGGGTTTTATTTGGAAAAGTTTGTTTGATGTTTGTTTTTCTTACTGGGATTGCCGCAAGGAGTGGAGCTTATTTTCGAGGACTCGGGTAATATCTTAATATAGTGTATGTTGGTATATTTGGATGTTGGGGAGTGTAGCTGCTTTTGAGGCAAGGTCGTCTGCAAATTCATTGCCCGGGATTCTGATGTGTAATAGGATCCACATTATTTTTACAGTTTGGTTGGAAGCTCGTATTTTGTTTTGAATACTTTGGGCAATGTTTCATTTTGTGTTTGTGTTCGATATAGCCGATATAGCGCTCATAGAGTCGCTTAGTAAGAGGATATTATTGTGAGTTATGGATAGAGAAGATGTTGATAGTGCTTCGAATATTGCTAGGATTTCTGCTGTGTAGATGCTCGTAAATTGAGTAAGTTTGAATAAGATATTTTGTGACGTATGTGTGATAGTAAAACTGGTTTGTTTTAGGGTGTTTGAGGCATCTGTATAAATAGTAAAAGTTGTTGAAGTTATTGTTTATTATTTTGTAGAACAAGTTGTTCAGTGTTCAGTGTTCAAATGTTCAGTATCGACTTCAATGAGGTTAGTATGCCATGGGGGAAATAGAAAGGGACTTTTAATGGGTCTTATGTTGTTGATGTTAACGGAAATTTCTTCTAGAATCTTGTTTATTTTAACATATAGTGTTTTAAAATTATGAGCTCGGGATGATTTGATGACTATTTTTTTAATTTTGGTTTGGGGTGTTGAAATTATTTTAGCTGCATGTTTAACGAAAGGTAATTGCGTCTAAATTCCAGTGAAAGGATGCTGTACTCACAATGCAGGCTGTCAATTGGCTTGTTTTGAAAGTTTAGTCTGATTCCAACGTTGTGTATAGGGTTAAGTAATTTAAGGGTGTTAGAATTACCTGAGCCGTAAATTGTAGATCCGTAGTTAAGTATTGATTGTATAAGAGAATTATAGAGGAAAAGAATTGTTTTGCATTTTAATGGAGAAAATTTGAAGCCAGTTTTCTTCGACTATTGAGAAATGTTATCGATAGTGGTTTGCATAAGGGATTTTGTGTTATGAATGTTTACGCCTGAGCAAAAAATATTACAGACATCTTCGTATAGTAGGACTTTGACGGGCGGCTTGATTTGATTGCTAATATCATCGATTGCTACGAAGAAAAGTTTTGCACTTAAGGAGTAACCTTATAGAAGGCCATTTTCTGTTGTAAAAAGTGATGATAGAGTGTTTCTGAATTTAACCTTGAAGGTTCTGTTTTCAAGAAAGTTATTAATACATTTTAGGTTATTGCTACGGAGGCTCCATTTTTGTAGAGTAAGTAGAATTCTATGTTTCCATACTGAAACGTAGGCTTTAGCAATATCTAATGAAACCATTAAGAGATGTTTTTGATGTCAATTGAATCACATATGTTGGTGTGGATTTTTGTCAATGGATCGATGGTGGAGTGGTTGACGCGAAAACCGAATTGATGGGGGGGAAGAAGATTCTGTGTTTCAAGAAACCATATTAGTCGAGTATTAACCATGTTTTCGAGAATCTTGATCATAGTATTAAGAAGAGATATTGGTCTATAATTATTGATATCAAAAATTGTTTTATTAGGTTTGGGGATAGGAATGATGGTGGCGGCTTTCCATTGTATTGGAAAGTGGTTTTTAGTCCATATGTTGTTGAAGATATTGAGTAAATAATTAAGAGATAAAGAGGAGAAGTGTTGTAGGAACGAGAAAGGTATACCATCAGGGCCGGGGCTTTTGCTCTTTTTTTTTTAAAAAAAGACAGTTGTTAGGTATTTTCGACCATTTTTTTATAAGATAAGAAATGAGTATCATAGTTTTAATTGCTGTTGTTTAAATGGAAAAATGAGTCAAAATTGTCTGCTATTTCTTTTTTGTCAAAGAGCTTATTGTTTTAGTTTGAGTTCTATTGATTCCTTTGATACTCATAATTTTGGACCACATTATATTGGACGGGGTTTTATGGTTGATATTAGAAGTGAATTTTTTCCAAGAGTTTGTTTTGCTGCTGTTAATTGTTAAGCGTGATATAGCTCTGAATTTTTTAAGTTAAATATGGTCAGATTGAAGTCTAATTTTCCTGAATTTATTTAAGGCAATTTTTGTAATTCTGTATGGCTGTTTTGCATTTGTTGTTCCACCGCGGTACCATTTTCCTACAAAAGTGCGTTGGCTTTTTCCGAGTGTGATTTATACTGCTTCAATTATTGTATTGGTAAATGATTTTACTATTGAGTCAATATTTGCAGAGGGGTTTGTTTGAAGGAGAGTATTGAATTGATTTTTGACCAATAGTTTTTCAGTCATATCGCTTGCACGGTCCAGTTAATTGTGCCCCCTAAAGATGCGGATATAATGGACAGGTCAATTGCTGAAAAGCTGCTGTTGGTTGAGTTATTTCTTATTGGGTTGCCATCGTTGAGGAGGATTATCGAATCATCTTCTAGGAGTTTCTCGACTGTTCTCCCTCGTCTGTGTAATCGGATCCTCAAATAATATTTCTACTGTTGAAATCGCCTAGTAAAATTAATGGATGGGGAAGTTATGAGATAAGATTTTTGAGATCCGAAAATGTAAGCACTGTGCTATCTAGTGCATATAAGTTTCAAATGGATAGTTTAGTATTGTAATTTGTTGTGATGGATATAGCGATGGCTTTGAGTGGAGTAGTGAGAGGAATCTGTTCGTGCTCTGTTGATGATGATGCAAAGATGCAGACTCCCCCACTAGCTCTGCATAGAGGGTCTCGGTTCTTGAAATATCCCTGATAATTTTTGAGTTTTGGTTCTTTGTGTTGGTTTTTAAAATTTGTTTCCTGGAGGCTAAACGCCAGAGGTTGAAGATCAGAAACTATACGGTGAGTGTCAGACAGTTTTTTATAAAAGCTATTTATATTAAATTGTAATATTATTTCTAAGGGTGTCAGTTTGTCTTGTATATTGTAGATGGGTATTATGTAGTTTTGATTTTGAGTGTTATTGATCATTGAATTATTATTCATTAGTTTAGTTCTTGATATTTGCTGTTTATTGCGGTGGTAGGGTTTGGAAAAGTAGGTTTGCTAACTTGGTAAGTCGGGATTTTATAAAGCGGTTGATAGCGACTGGTCAGATTTCTTCTATTAAATTTATAAAAGTGTGTGCGTTTGTGTTGGTTTCTTCCATCAGTGAATGAACATTTATTGATTTTGTTGTGAAGTTTTCAAATATGTGTTTAAATTGACAAAAAGTAATGGATGTGTTGGAGTTATTTTGAAAGAAACTCTTTAAGTAATTAAGTCCCTCATCCAGGTTGTCAATCATACGTGTAGATGAGTTAGAACGAGGGCAAATTTTGATTTTTTTTGTGTTTTCATATGGGAGTAAAATTGGTAGGATATGGGGGTGACTTCGAATAAGATGTTTCGGATATAAGTAATTTGTGAATTACATTTGAAATTTGAGCACGAGTTCTTTCTTCATTTATTTTAGTGTAAGGTATTTGGAGGTGAATAGATTAAGCGGAGTTGGATGGTGAGAGTGTTGTGTTAGATGGTTCTTCAATGTGTTCTAATTCCATGTTTTCTATTGCATTGATTTAGATATTATTTGGTGTTTCTTTGGAGATAATGTTTGTGATAATTTGTGAGGTATTATTTGGAAGTTGAGTATAATAATTATTTTAGTGTTTAAGTGTATTTGAAATTAACACTGACCAATTTTTTCAGTGTGCAGAGGTATGGCCGGTTTTTTTTGCAAAGGTGACAAGTGAATCGGGTAGTTTTGATATATCCTCTTGGGGATATGGGTCTATCTTCGGAAGTAGGACAAGTCATCTGTTGTAAGACCGGCTTTTAAGAAAGTGATTGGTGTGAGTGTTTTGATGTCCATGTTGTTCAACGCGTTTGTGATGTATGATTGTGGAATTATGGGTGAGACTAAATATTTTAATTTATTTTTTTTAATTAGTTTTCTAATTTGCGGATTGGAATGATGAATTTTTTAACGGTAATTGACGGGTTGGAGTTCATAATGTCGTTGACCATGTTTTTGTTTGCAAAATAGAAACAAAAATGATCATTAGACAATCTGGACACAAATTTTATGTTAGCCGGGTTAGTTATGGAACTCAGGGCTTTGATATACTCAATTTGTGGTGTGCCGTCGATTGTATTGAATATAATCGCTTGGTCCTTCTTGGGAAAAGAAAAATTTGCTGTTGTTTCGGCAAATGTTTTTTGTATATGATTAGCATTAGATCTAATAGTGGTATTTATGTCTGTAGGAGTTGAAATAGATGTGTTTTTTATATTGGTTGATGCATTCTTTGGTTGGGTTTTGGTTTTTGGGATATCTTTTACTGGACTCGGTTAAAAAATTAATAATTTTGTTAGATAAAACAAATTAATTAACTATAATAAATAAATTATTATAAAAAAAAAAACTACTGCAATATTTCGCTAATATTATAATGTTTAGTGTTTAAATAGTTTATAGGTATGTAAAATTAATCTGTTGAGTATTGAAGAGCTATTCGCAATTAGTATAAATTAATTATATCTTAATAAAATATATTTACGTTATAAGTCTTGGATATATATATATATATATAGATCTTTGAATTGTGTAAAATATTTAATTGAAAACAAATGGTCTATTGATAATGTAGACTAATTTACCATTATTCATTATTTTGATTATCATTGTATTTATAATTCTAAGAAATAGTATTGCAGTTGATGAGCGGGCGGTACCACTACGCGGTAGCGGTTACACATACTAACGTTCATTTACTTCTCACACATTGACACTTCCCAAATGTAACTGTTATACGAAATGTCTAAATATTATTCCTTAAGACGTGCTTCACTCCAGCCCCCTTATACTGATATTTTATACTTTGTTCTATACTATACTCGTAATTAAACTATAGTAAATTATTAGTAAAATATTGTATAGTTATTATTACAAGTACAACAATTATTTATTTCTATTCAAGATTCAAATTGCCGGGCAAATTGTAAATTACCGGTATTCCATATTGCCCGTAACATATACCATATATATATATATTAGCTTATACCGGCTAAAAAAGTGTAATTTACACGAATATATGTATGTATTAATGGATTGAGTATTTCTAGACAACGGCAAATGTCTGGGTTGGCGTGAAAATATCAGTAAACCGTTTCAATGGATCAACTACAACGAAACCTTATTACGCGCTCGAAATTTCGGCTCTGGTCTGATGGGCCTTGGTCTACCGAAATCTAACCAAATTTTCATCGGGATTTTCAGTCAAAACTGTCCGGAATGGATACTAACCGAACAGGCCGCTTACTGTTTTTCCATGGTGATCGTACCGCTCTACGACACATTGGGCCCGGAAGCTTGTTCGTTCATCATAAACCAAGGTATTCACTTGTTATTACTCGTTATTATACTTATATATTATACTTTATTATACTTTTTATCACCCTACTTGTTACGATTCACGCGTAAAACACAAACCTCGCTATACTTGGCGTAAACCATTTCAGCGTAAACTATATATTTTGAACGGTTCAAAATGACAACTCCATTTTTCTACATAAGATAAAAATACACTATAAAAACAAGCATTAATACAATATAAAATAAATAATATGGAAATAACGGGATTACAACGGGACGATCTTCTAAAAACGGGATAAAAAACGTCCTACTCGAAGTTGGTCGGGACAACGGGACTTGATGATCAAAAAAGGGACAGTCCCATTTTAAACAGGACGTCTTGTCACCCTATGTTACTTCAATGTCATTTGACGTACCTACTCGTATTGTTATTTTTATTCATAAGAATATCTCTAAAAGTTTTAATAGTTTGTAAATCAACGTTATTACCGAATACGTAGTTCAATTTATTTTTTATTACAACTCCAGATTCTCCTTCTACTTCATTTAATTTGATTTCACCATTTTTCATTATAGTAAGACTTTGAAACATTGTTATATTTAATGTTTCCAATTGTTTTAGTATGTACTTTAACCAAGAAACAAAAATGTGTGGAAATAAATGCTAAATTATGTTTAAGGTACTTATTTTGCATAGTATCAGAAGCTTGTATAATAACGATTATAGTATCTGAATCAAGATTTGAAATAACTTCTTTAATTTAATTCCAACATAATAATTTTAATAGAAATAAAAATTGTATAAATATAAAAATGTGAAATATTTAAAAATAAGTATTTACATCGAAATTATGTGAAAAAAATTAAAATAAAAAAAAGTCTCATATTATTCAGGGTATTATGAAACGTGGTTATTTTTAATTGGAATTGAGAAATTCACATTCAATGAAATTATGTATTTACATAAAAATTCGCGCCCTGATTACTCTCGCAGTCGCGAACGCTTAATCTAACACTGATTATTCGATTTTTGGTGATTTATTTTGTAATTTGTTTATTTGTATACAAATATATATATGCTATGGGTTGGGAGAGGGTTGGTTTTACTTTCGACCCCCCCCCTGAACGTCGTGTACAACCGCTGGTGTATCATTAACGTTTGGCGTAACGCCGACAAGTATCGTCGTAATCACTATTTCGTTACGTGTTCGTGTGACGCGTTAACGCGCATGTCCACGCAGTTGTTGCAGTACCGCGACGGTGTTACGATACGGCATCGCATCACGCGCGAATGTTGTACGTGTGGGTGGACCCGGCGTGACGAAGGATCGAATTCCGTTCGCGTTGTCAGCAAGCGCGCCCGCAGGATAAAATCCCACCCGGGGCAAGATTAAAATTCTAAGGGCCAAAACAACGTGTATCCAAAAATAGATGAGAACAAAATCAAAAACCATAGGAATCGATACTCGGGAGAGTTTATAGTTTTAAGCGATATGCAGTCATGTGTAAACGTTGTAAACTAATAAATACGTTCAAGATTAAACATTTTAGATCATCCAAAAATACGATAAATTTTACTAAACATCATAAATGGTACTCAATAAAATGATGTTGCAATTGAAAAATGCGTGGTATTAAATTAACAATAGTTTTAAAACGAAAATTCCCAGTAGGGGCAATGGACCCTTTGCCCGCCCCCTGCGGGCGCGCATGGTTTCCGGGTCTGTTTGATTTATTTTTTTTTTCTTCAATGACCGTTACGCGCCGTTTGGTTTAGCCGAGATATCCGTGGTGGTGGTGGACACGGACGAGAAGTGCAACCAGCTGCTGGACCGGTCGCCGAAATGTCTGCGGCGTATAATCGTGGTGCGCGGCACGCGGCCGTCGACCAACCAGAAGGCTAGAAACCGCGGCGTGGAGCTGCTGACTTTCGACGAGGTGGAGAAGGCCGGCACGTCGAGAACGCATCCGGAACAGGTAAACGGCGATTGCGATCAACGCGACGGACGATTTGTACGGTTTTACGTGTTGTTCCGAAACAGCCACCGAAACCCGCCGACTTGTGCACGATATGTTACACTTCGGGTACCACGGGGCTGCCCAAGGGCGTGATGCTGACCCACGGCAACGTAGTGGCGGCCGTCAGCGCTATACTGATCCAACTGTCGCAGTACAGGCCGAACGTAGGCGACGTGATGATCTCTTACTTGCCGTTGGCTCACATGCTGGAGAGGTGCTGCGAAGTGAGTTGCAGACGCGGTGGCGTGGCGCGCGACGGGCGTTTGTTAAAATCGGTCGTGTTCAACTGTGGTCGCACGCGTTTTCGACGCAACGTTGTAGAGCGTTTTAGACTCGGCGTTCGAATGTCATAAATCAACATATAATATGATCATGTTCGCACCAGGGAAAAAACCGCGCGTCCGAACGCTTCGAAACGTGCAGGTTTAATTTTGAGCGTTCTGAAATTAAACGTTGTATTTTCCATGTTGTATTCACACTGGGCGTTTGCGACGTCGCGTATTGCAGCGTTTTGGTTGATAATCAGTTTATTCGGTTACCAGACGTCGACTTGCTGTGCTATACCCATCTCCTCGAGTTGGTCACATAACAACCGCCGCATAACAACTCTTATCATTTTCATCATTTTAGTTACTATTTTTTTTTTTTTTTTTGCTCCTTACGTTGTTGCAATCTTTTATAGAATATGTAAACCAAGCAAACTGCTTCCGCATCATCTAATGTATTTATATCTTATCCGTTTAGCGCAGGGGTCTTCAACCATTTTATGCAGCGGGCCAAGTATTATTTTTTTTAAACCTTGTCGCAACTGGGCCGCATTCTTAGTTAAAACATGTATTTTATATAAAGATTCAATTTTAGTCATACAATTTTTAAAATTAGTTGGGTGCATTTAAAATTACAAATTATTATTATTATTATTAAAATATAAATAGATAAACATTTTTTTTTTATTATTACAAAATTTTATTTTTTATGTGAAAACATTTAGTGTGTGATCAGATTTGCTGTTGTTGCCGTTAACACTGCACTCGTGCTCATAGGTTTTTTTTTTTTTTTTACGAAGACCACGTGTTTAGATACGAGAAGGAGATTTCGTTTAGTTTTTTTTTTTTGACATAACACGTTCTTCGTTAGCTTGAGGTAATTGTGAGAAAGATAGATATTTAAAATAACCAAACATATGTGTTTTATAACTTATAAAAATTAATTATTTTTAAAAAAAAAAATAGTAAAACATCATAGGCGTGACTAAATTTCATCCACAGTGGTAGTCTAGCCAATGACCAGTGCTATGTTGATAACCCGAAGAAGGCACTTTACACCCAATACGGTAATTTTTGTGTCGGGGGGGGGGGGGGGTTACAATCGTTTAAAATTTTAAAATGAACAAAAACTATTAACAATTTTTTAAAAAAATATACGGTATACATAATGAATTAGGAATTAGGAAATTACAATTTTGCTATTCTTTTCTTTCTGTAAAATTAAAATTAAATACCTGAACCGTGTTCTACATATCTCGTTTAATGTTTTTACTCTGCTTTAATATTTAAAAAAAAAACAATTTAACTCGATAAAAAAGAAATTTTTAAAACGTTATAAAAAACGACAGTTGAAAACAATATTTATTGATTACATGATTAAGAAAAAAATCTTATAATCACTACAAATCGTACACTGATAAACAACGACGTTCATAATATATTGCTATTGATAAGTGTCTATTTTAAACACTAGATTTTAAAAATCGGCTTTGTCAATTCACCTCAGTACCAAACTAGCACCGGTCTATTCTAATCTATGACAACTCATAGGGCAATCCCTCCTCCCAACCGGAAAAATAAGAATAAATTGAAAATAAATAATACTATCGGTAGTTAATTAAAAACCAAAACCACACCTAATAACTAAGGCTAAATTTAACGTAAAATAACATATTTATTGAAAAAAAAAATTAATTAACGGCACATATTATATAATTTTATCATAAAATAATAAAATCAATGGAAATAATTTGTTATGAACTGTAAAATTGTTTTTCATTTATTGGTATTGTATTCATATTTTGTACCATTTCTCTACCTTACTATATATTTGAAATGCCCTTCACCCCCAGCCGCATCACGAAGCAAAATATTTGAAACACCGGAACAAAATAATATACCAAATAAATATCTATTAAGTAAAATATATAATGCTTATATTCATGATAACGTAAATGAAGCAGGGTCATCAGGATCATCGTCATTTTCATTATCAATAATTTTAATAATAGTCAATAGTTTTAAAAATAATTCATACAAATTATACCGGTAGAGTGTTATTCACGTAAATAATATTATTTTATTATGATAGCCGATACGGATCATATAATATGGACATATCACAATACAATACTATTTTATTAGTTATAAGTTGTTAATGTTATTAGTAAATAAAGAAAACATTTTATAAATAACATTTGTAAAAACTATATAAAATATTTTAAAAGTCGGTTGACCGGCACCTTTGGAAAATTACAGGGGGAGCCCAGGCACCCTAGGCTGCCACCGTAGACACATGTAAAACATTTAAAATATCTATTTATTGCTACTACGAAAGAACAGTTTGGACTTGGTAACGATTACGCATTCGTGGCGATGTGACTGAACAGAGTCCACGACGAACAATAATTTAAGGGTAAATCAGCCTAACACTGTCTAACTCCTAACCACCTACCTTCTAATTTTTATTAGAAGTCGTTCTCGTGTTTATACGAGAACTCCCGATGTCGAACGGTGTAAAGATATGATAATATTTATTTATTGCATAATTCAGAATAACTAAATTAGATAAAATAATATATCTTATTACCAGTGGTGTATTGGTAAATATATGGGTTAGCACTACGCACTAATAAAATATGTGTATTAATCTTAATACAATGTTCTCGCTTCGCTCGACAGTTTATTTTCTTGCTAAACTCGAATAAATTAAATTAACCCCATGTTTATAACTTCTATTAAGACTATAATGTAAAACACCACTAGATATACATTTGCCGCGCGTTATTAATTGATTTGTGCAGATTTATGAACCATGAGCTGAAAATCCATACTCCATATTATATTTAATAACATTTATTTTTTCAAAATATTATTTACTAAATTGAACTCAAAATACATTTAAGTGTAACTAAACTGTAAACTGTACACTGTAAAATATAAATATTTCATTTAAACTTCATAGTACATAACAATTCTTTCAAACGAACTATTAAATAAGTTTTATTTGGTTTACGAGATATTTTAGGAGTGTATACCCGTAAAATAATATTTTACATTCGGTATACGCCAAAAATCGAAATGCAGACGGGTATAAGGCGTATACACTTATATATGTATTAATACACCCCTGCTTATAACGCAAATAACGGCATTTATCAAAAGTTATGAAAATATGTTATTTAACCTTCTTGCGTCCTACGTACATTGTATACAAATTAAAAATCTATTTCTATATAATGCGATGACGTCTTAATTACACTATCTGTATTTGGGCTTACTACATCATGGCAGACTTTACTTTAAAATCGTTCTCATAAAAAATTACTAAAACATCACTTACAACACGAAAATATTGTGCGCTATGTTACCGATGTTTTCGTCGTTGTTGTAAAACGATTCGTGAACATTTTCTAATGTCTACCGTGCACCTAGAACGGAATGTATCTGGTCGGAGGTTCGGTGGGCTTCTACAGCGGTAACATCAAGTTTCTGGTCGAAGATATGAAGGTCTTGAAACCGACCATAATGCCCAGTGTACCGCGTCTTCTGAACCGGATCTACGAGAAAGAAATGGCAAATATAGTCCCGTGGTTTTTCAAACGTACCATGTTCAACATGGCGCTCCGATCGAAACAAAATGAAATTAAAAAGTTTGGTTTGTCTCCTACTTCTGTTATCGTTCGAATAATCATGTTACTTTATTTGGATACTCGCGTTTCAGAGGTATAGTGCGGAAAAACAGCATTTGGGACAAGTTGGTCTTCAGCACTCTGCAACGGAACATGGGCGGACGGTTGAGATTGATGATAACGGGTTCAGCCCCGTTGGCCGGTAACGTTTTAAATTTCATGAGATGTGCTCTCGGATGTCTAGTGAGTCGAATCGGTTTAAACGCTTCCGACGCGCGTACAGCTATTTTCAATTGTTGTGGTCGATAGGTAGTAGAGGGATACGGTCAAACCGAATGTACGGCACCCATAACGCTATCGATCCAAGGCGACATGAACACAGAACATGTGGGACCACCCGTGGCTTGCAACCTGGTTAAATTAGCCGACGTGCCAGAAATGGAATATTACGCATCGTCCAATCAAGGAGAAATTTGTGTTAAAGGGTCAAACGTTTTCCAAGGATACTTTAAAGATCCGGATACCGTTACGTTTGATGAACACGGGTGGCATCACACTGGAGACATTGGAATGTGGCTTTCGGTGAGTTGAAAAATTATTATTTTTATGCACCACCGCGAAAGTGCAGTACATTATCAATTATTATTTTGACTACATATTGCTCTATTGTTAAAATTTTAATAATTTATTTTATTTATTTATTTTAATAATTTGTATTGTTTTTAACAATTTTTGTTTATTATTCACATTGTTTCAAAACCAAATTAAATAATTAAATTATGGCAATATGTTTTTCAGAATGGAACTCTTAAAATAATTGATCGTAAGAGACATATATTTAAACTCTCTCAAGGTGAATACATTGTTCCTGAAAAAATTGAATCAATTTATCTTAATAGTCAATATGTAAAACAAGTATTTGTCCATGGAGAATCTTTAAAGGTAATTTACTATGTACTAATGGCTTTTATAATTATTGTCTTATATCTTTTAAATTGAACATAAAGAAATATAGAAAAAGAAAAAAGGACAAAGGAGAGAGAAAGAGAGAGAGAGAGAGAGAGAGAGAGAGAGAGCGAAAGAATTCAAACAAAACTTTTATAAAAATTAAGGTATATAATAGAATAAAATAAAAGCTAAATAAGTTGATTAATTTCATTTTTATTTTTAAAAATAGTTTGATTCAAATAAAATATTTCAAGCTTCTTTATTTAATATTATAATTAAAATCTTATGATAAATAAAATTATAATTATACTCATTCGTATAAAATATTCTTAATATATTTATCGTATGTTTTGTAAGACATTTCCAATTCCTATATTAATCATAGATATAAATATTATATCAGAGTTTACTTAAGAAACGTTATTAAAAAATTAAAAAAATTAATTAAAAGAAAATATTTTTGATGTTTATTCTTATTAGTCGGCGTACATAATTAAGTACGAAAAACCTTTTTACCATATACTAAGATACATAGGTGTTTACATTTTATATAACCTTAATAATTTTTTAAATGGGGAAAAATATTATTTGTTAGACTAATTAGAACGGACATGTGTTCAAATTATATTTAAAATGCAAGTGTTTGAGTTTAATGAATCATATAAATTGGCAAACTTACGGCTTAATAAACTTCTACGTCTTAACATTAATTAATTTAATATTAAGGACTATATTTAAATAATGATTACCGACACACTATGTAATTATTTCAATTGTATTTTAAATCAGCATTATAAAATGTCTTTCAAGGTTAAAAAATCTGAATAAAATTAACACAAAAAATAATAATAATAATAACGATTTGAAAAATTCTTAAAAATCAATAATCAAAATCAACCAAAGTAATTATACAAATTATAATTTACAGTAATAATATTATAAATTATATTATTATTATTATTATTTTATTATAATATATTATAATAATTATAATTCTATTTAAAATAGAAAGAGCTGACCAAATACAACTATTATTGAAACTAATTGAGTAATTAAAAGTATTGATAAGCTGATTTACTGGTTATAATGAAATAAAAATTAACTTATCAACTAATCCAAGAGTCTTCAACCTGTTTATGCAACGGGTCACGAATTATTTTTTTTAACCTTACATTCATAGTAAAACTATGTATTTTATATAAAAATTCAGTTTTATTCTTACAATTTTTAAAATTAGGTGGGTACATTTAAAATTACAAATTATTATTATTATTAAAACATAAATAGATTAAAATTTTTTTTTTAATTACAAATTTTTTATTTCATTTTTAATGTGAAAACATTTAAAATGTGATCGCGGACTGTGAGTTGAAGACTCCTGAACTAATCAATGACTACCATAGAACCAAAGCATTTACGGCGTCCGTTTGTGATATTTAATCATTTACGTCAGTGGTGGCCAAACTACGGCCCACGGGCCAACTCCGGCCCACCATCATTTAATATCTGGCCCGCGAAAGTCTTCTATATTACAGCACTTATTTGTATAACTGTAATATTTTGCATTTACGTAAAAAAAAAATTTAGAATGCATTTTTTTATGGCCCGCGATAAAAAAAAGTTGTTTTTTATGGCCCGAGGTAAAAAAAGTTTGGCCACCACTGATTTACGTCATGCATGTCGTAGCCATTTAGTGAAATCATTATTTTTACATAAAGTTGACAATTTCCCGGGGCAGATCTAGGGAGGGGGCCCTAGGGCCAGCAAGCCCGTACCGTATTTATAAAAAAATTTATATTGTTAACAAAAAAATGCTTATTATAATATGGACTATCATATGAAACGCACAAGTATGTTGATAGGGCTATAGAGGTATGACGGTTGAAAGAAGTTTCTCCACACTTCGGAGACTGGCTTCATTCAAGGATGATTGAAGATAAACTATCAGCATTATGTCTAATTAATGTATATTATAAAGTGGATATTCTCCTCAAATAGATCATATTATTGATATTTTAAAAATAGACGACTTGAATTTGTGTTATAAAAATTGTTGTTTTCCTTTCGTTATAAGATTTTGTAAAATTATAACTTGCCCTCCCCCCTAACCAAGGTTTTGGAGCCGCCCCTGACAATTTCGTAAAATAATAAAATATAAACGAAGTATATAAGTATATAAGAAGTATGTAAACAAAACGAGTTATTCAATTTTTAATTTTTAAACATCTTTTATAAATTAATTAATTGTCTGTACCTAGTCGAATAAAAACTTTTTTTTTCGAGATCAAAACCGAAAGGGCGGCAATTTTGATTTTACCTATGTATACATTTTGTTTAAAGTCGGCCCTGATTACCAACGATTCGGTATTGCGCGTGATGTTCCAACTCACAATAATTATTATGAATGCTAGTCCACCCACTTTTTTATAGCATTAAGATTATGCATGAACACATGAACACAGGGTGTTCTTGCTCGACAATACACATACACTTTAAATATTTTAAACAAATAAACAAAATTACAAAAAAAAAATCAGAACCAAAGATTAAATACTATATAGGTCAAACCTATATTTAAATATGTATAAATACATTAGAAACACGACGGACAAGACGCGTACACGTTTTATTAATATTTATTTTCTATGTCGTTTACAGTCGTGCATCATAGCCATAGTTGTGCCGGTGGTGGACGTTATCAAAAGTTGGGCGCAGGAGAACGGCATATCCGGCACGTTGTCGGTTCTGTGCGCGAACCCCGAGGTGAAAAAGCTCATCATGGACGACATGATCGCTTGGGGCAAAGATGGCGGTCTGAAGTCATTCGAACAAGTAATTACGTCGGGCGCGTACGGACGCGCAATGCTATTCGCTTTCGCACATCTGTTCGCGCGCGTGCTCCCGCGTGAAAACGAAAAAAAAAAAATAATAATAATCAGAGACCGGATTTTTATGTCTTTACATATTTTTACTGAGAATATTCAACTTCTATCAAGCTTTCTCGACGATTCATTGTCCTATCAATTAATTTACGAACATTTGGAAAACAAAATGTTTTAGGAATATGATCAAGAACGGAATAAGTACATATTGGGCCCCGGGGCTGAAATTTTATATGGACCCTTTTGACAAAACATGCTTTACAATGCCGCTAGCTACGCTCGCAATATGACACATGTTTTTTAACTATTTCGCAAATTGTCAATCGCATTATAAAATTATAAAATTGATAGATATATACAATTTATGTTAATAAAACTACTAATTTTGGTATGACAAAAGTAAATACTTCAAATTTCATTAATTTAAATACAAATTTTCATAGTAAATTTTAAATTTATTAACAATTTACAACAAATATCAAACTAAAGTTAATATAAAAAACAAAAACTATTTAATCAAATACATTTTTTTTTCTTGCTTTACTTGAAGCCAACTCTCTTAGTATATAATTTAAATCTAATGACTTTAACAAATCATGCTCAGAATATAAAACAATTTATATATTTAAGTTTTCTTGGGTTTGACTGGTTCTATACTTACTTTTAACTCTAGATAATTTAGAAAAAGCTCTCCGTAGAAAAATTAGCTACAGGAATTGTCAAATATATTTTTAAAGAAGTAAATATGCAAGAAAATACCTCTTCGAGTGATTAATCATCAAACCAGTCAAATAATTTGGGAATGTCAGCTGGATTAAAAAAAAGTTGACAAAGTCTCCACTATTCTTTAAATTGTATAAGTTAGTTTGGTAAAGTAGAATCTACATAATTTTTATACTTTAAAATAAATGTTGAGACACTGAAATCAATTTGTCCATTATATTTTTGAGTTAAATGTACTATAAATAAAAATTGATTACCAATATAGGTATTCATAAGTGGAAATTCTTTTGTTTAATTCTGAAACAAATTTATCAATAAAAAATATATGTCTGTACACGAAATTTGTTTTTTCCATTAGGGAATTTTTTTCTTTTTTTTTTCTTTGCTTTTCATCTGAGTAGTGAATGGTAATTTCAGAACTAAGATTAGGTATTTTTTCTTCGTAAATTAAATTTGAGTCTCGTAAACTTAACACATAACACTTCAGTGATATAGTATCAGTGACGTAACTAGAAATTATTTAAGGGGGGTCTAACAATTTTACTTAATTTGTTCTCTAAATATAATCATAGTAATGGGCGATCATTGAGGAAGGCAAGGTTGCGCCCTTGCCCCCCCCCCCTTAACTAGAAAATTATACTAACATAAAATTGAATAAGTGTTAACTTTTTGAGAATATATAGCTCATAATTTGAAAAACAAAAATTGGCTCCTTTTTAAAGTTTTATTTATGGGCAACCAGGATCATAGTTAAATTTATATTTAACAGAGTACTATAAAATATAAAATAAATAATAAGTTATAATTAGGGCTGAAATTTCAACACCCTAAAATATCTCAAAAAATTCACTTAAAATATGCCTTAAAAAACCCAAAAAATGCATTATATAAATGCATTTAAATTATATTTATTATAGCTTAGAAATTAGAAAAAAAATTTAAAATTATACCACAATAGTGTATTTTTTTTTTTTTTAATTGTATTTTACATTGCTGATAGTTCAGTTTTGTTATACTTTTGTTTTATTCTGTTTTCTTTCATTCATTCTAAAAAATAATTAAAAAAAAAAAAATGTTAATATTTTAAAATGTTTTTGCTAGTCATTATTACTAACCTGAACGAAATTGCTATTACATTGTATAATGATAAGCTGTCTTATATTTCGAAATAAAAATGATTGTCATGAGTTGGATAATGTCCTTTTTTCATAATTTTCGTTCATTTTTATGAACAAATATTTAAAAATGCTCTAAAAACTAAGAAAATGCACTAAAATAGTCAAAAAAACACCCTAGAAATGCATTTAAAGTTAATTGTATCAAAAAATGACAAAAAAACAAAAATGACTTTAAAATAATCAGTATCACCCAAAACATATTTTATACTTACAGACCAACATTATTAAATACCAGAAAAAAAGATGCTTTTGCATCAAAATCACAGCCCTAGTTATAAGAGTCAAATATACAGTACACACATATGCGGTTTACCATAATAGATAGATATTATAATTTGAAATCAATTTTTATTTGTTACGTAGTTAAATTTTATAAAAACATATTATTTAACTGACATAAATAAATAATATAAAATAATAATTTAAGTTTAAAAATAACCATTTTAAAACTGTAATCTGATTGGCAATTATTCAATTTTAAATAATTTATTAAGACACTTACAGAACGTGTTTTTGGCAACATTCTAGTTTAGCAACCTATCAATTTTTTTAATTTTTTTTTTTTCCAAAATGTGTGTCTTAGGGTGTTTTATAAGTATGTAAAAATAAAGAAGCCCGGACAAACTTCGTTTTGAAGTTATTGATAAAAAACTTAAAAAACTTTATTTTTTTTTATAACGCGCATTATTTTTTTAAAAAAAAAATACTTAGAATTTAATATTTAATTTTAATTTTCACATATTTACATTTTATTGTCCTTGTTACCTACTTGAGGTGGTTTTGCATAGCAAGTCGAGTGATATTTTCGATTTGCGGAGCAATGCGATGGCGTTTTGAAGCATTGCGACAAGTAACAAAACACTCGTATAATTGTTTCATTGACCTTTTCCGATACCACACGTATCGTTTGCAAAAGATTTATATTTCATTTTCAACCATTACTTTTATTTGTTTTTTCAGTGTTTAATATATTTTTATGAAAAAATCATATTTTTCCAAAAAAGAATATTTATACTCGCGTGAAGGATTATTTTGACGAAATTATAAAGCACAAGAGCATCTAATTTTTATGATTTTGAGTTCACATAAATCCGGTCCCAATTATTATCAACGATACACAATATTACGCGTTCTGCGTAACCATTTGGATAATCGTTTGGCGTGCACGTTCCAGGTGAAAGACATCTACCTGCACCCGGACCCGTTCTCTGTGCAAAACGGACTGCTGACGCCGACATTGAAAATGAAACGTCCGCAGGTGAGGTCGTACTTCGCGCCACAGATCGAAGACATGTACGTTAAGCTGAAATGAATGGCCATCCGGCGGACATGTGCCCGGCCGTGTTGTATACCGACACTGCAGCTTTAGTGATTATATATTTATAAATATGTATAATGTATTTGTATCAATCTATTTATTCATGTACACGTTCACTAATAAAATATACTATACGGATATTGCACGACGGTGAATCTATGTTTTACGTTCCCCTCTATCGACGCGTGTATGTGTATGTGTGCAGTATCGTGTTAACGAGCTCCATTTCGCTAGCATGTAATTTTGCGATTTTTTTTATTTTTGTAATATATATTATTTTGCGGATGATTTACGCGATTAGCGGACGTATTTCTGATTTTTGCGGACAATTAATTTATTAGCAAATTCAAAAAAGAAGTTGACATGCTGGTGAAATGTTGCAAAAATTTAAAAAATCACTTACTTATTTTTTAGTACACCATCATTTTGCGGATAATTTGCGTGAGTTTGCGGACGTATTTCCGATTTTTGTGGACAATCAGATTTTTTGCAATTCAAAATAAAATAAATTATACAAATACTCAACTTGAAATAGTTTTTAAAAGCTTTGACATTCTAAAACAAGAACTATTATCGGGAGAAACAAATTTTGATGCAGATAATTTGATAAGATCACGTAAATGTTTTTATTCCATTTGAATACTTACTGTTGGGGAAAAATTCTCAGTGCAATCGACAAGATCAATATAATTTTACAAAAACCAAAACTAACAATTTGATGTAGCTGTCAAAAAATCTGCGAAGCCTCCCTAAAATTTTACAAAACTTTCGAGAGCAATGTATAAATGAGACTTTATCCGATTCAAAGAATAAAGCTGAAACATTAGGCATTTAGACCGAATTTCTAAAAGTCAGGTTACGAAAATAAAAACAGTTATCCGGAGAAATTGGAGAAGATAAGTTTTATAACATAAGTGAAGAAAATAAATTTTTGATAACGATGAAAAATATTATTGACAGTATGGTAATTTGGAAGCTTCTGGGTGTCTTTCCCCTTAAAAATTCCTTCCTAGCAACCCGCAATACACTAATAATTTTCCCCTTAGAATGCAATCCTCAACACAGACAAACCTAACAACGACAAGCAAAATCGTACGCATATATTTTGGATAACAAAGAAAAAATCTAGGGCTTTGCACCCGAATCAACCCGGACCCGTAACACTCCTAAAAACCCTTAAAAAATCAAACCCGAATGATTTTTTTTTTAAAAACACTCAAATTATCCAAAACCCGAATATAATATTGGTTTTAACCCGAAACCCGAATAATTTTGTATTTTACAATCTTTATATGACATATCACTTTGTATGTATTTTTTGTGGTTATTTCAATTTTGTCATTAGTTGTTTAATAGTAAAATTATTATCCACAGGAATAATTTCACAAATAATATACAAAATTGTTAATTAATCTAAATGTATCTAAATAAAGACAATAACAATATATCATATTGACAGGTGTGCATGAATGGTATGGTATGTTGAATGTTCAAGTGTAAGCAACTGGGATACTAATTTTAAAATTATTTCAAACGGATACGTCGTATTATTATAATTTAATAGGTAATAGGTCTTCTACGAATCACCGAGTCGTATTTATTGCAATACTGTAAGTCTGAAATAGAATTGATGTCTCGCGCATGATTAACTAATTTGTTGTTCGCGTTATTCATATTTGTTCAATGTATGGCGTGTAATACATATGTCTATGGCGTGAATTGTCAATTTTTTTTGGTGTAATAATTTCATCGTAACATCCATAAGTATAAATTATTTCTATTTTTGTATTGCGCTATATCCTAGTTAGTGCGTTTTTAGTGTGTGCACGCACCACAAACCATAAGCGGAAATTCGGTGAAATGTAAGGGGGGGGCTAAGCATTATTTGCTTATTACATCTATAGATACCACTGCGCGCAATTATTTATTTCAATAAGGCAATTTACGAAGTTTGACAATTTGACATTTTTAATCAACAATTTAAACAAAAAAACAATTAGGTGCCTTATCTTAAACATTTTCGGAGTAGGTATTCTAAACAGAAATTATTAATTAATTGAATTACACAACCTATACGGGTATTATCAGGCGTGTACACAAAAAAAATATTTTGGGAGGGGTTTTAGGTTGTACATTTTCATAATGATATAATCTATATACCAATTTTACTATATAAAAACTTATTTAATATCATTTTCCTGAATTTCGGGAGGGGTTTGAATCCCTAAAACCCCCCTTGTGTACGCGCCCGGGTATTATTAATATTACATTGATTACGATCGTTCCAAGTCATGATAAGAAATTTGTAAAATCTTGCGAATTTGATTTAACTTTTATCACAGAATATTATTTTTTAATTCAGTTATTAAAAATGCGTTTTAAAATTATATTAATTATTGTATTTTAGTCACATAACAATTTTTAGGGCTAGGGGGGCTAAGACCTGTACTTTATATTTCTGGAGGGCTTAGTCCCCTCAATCCCCTTCTCCCTGATTTCCACTTATGCCACAAACACAAACGTAGAATACAAAATTGTTTTTTGTCGAATGCGATATGCCCGTACTAACTAGAAGTAGAACATAGTGTTTGTATTTTTAATTTTAATAGATATTACAATTTATAAGCTTCATACACATGTAAAATAACACCCTCTTCCCTAAAAATAAATCGTAGTTACACCATCGCTAGAAATTAACATAATGATAGTTTCGTCTAAAAAACTGTTGCACAGTTGTATAAGAAATTGATATTTTATTACATAGGCGAGTAACAAAAAATATAAATATTTCATTAGTGGAGGGGTGCTCAGCCTCCCCATTACCCTCCACCAATGAAAAATAATATTTTTCCTTGACTACTTAACACCCGTATTAACCAATATTAACCCGAATAATAACGGTTGTTCGGTCCTGTTACATATTAACAATAAGGCGCAGTTGATAACACTTCCGAGTGTCCTGGCGTGGACGAGTTGGTAATGCGTATGGTGAACGTATATGTTTTCTCCTTCTGCGCCGCCAGCACAGGAGTGTAAAACACGCTCTGAACTGCATTTTATTATTCACTTTTTCGTGTGTTTTGTTTTGTTTTTGTATTCCGGCTGTACGTGCGCCTTCGTCGCCATTAGTTAAGTGCGCCTTCGCCGTCGTTCAATAAGTGAGCCTTTGCCGCTATTTTAATAAGTGCGCCTTCGCCGTATTTTGTTGAAATTATATGATGCCCATCATCATTATACTTGTGTGATACTTAATTTAGTGTGAACGTGGATCATTGTGGTTACCAGTCATCGCGGCGCCGTCTGGAGACAGGTCAACCTTTTGATTATCTTTACAAAAACAAAATATATTTGTTCTGTGCGCCCATTGGGGACATTTACTTTGTACATTATACGTTGCTCCTCCCCCCCCCCCCCTTTGCCTTTAGTTCGTAAGCTTATCCAATGTTTATTTAATTTGATCAAATAAGACTTTGTATTTTGATAAACCAATTGTTGATCATTTTTATTATATCTCTCCTCCTTCATCCTTTGGTTTTCCATTTATACGTGTGGCAATCGACCGGATTCTGCCGTTGCGATAAGCTCTCATAAGATACACCTGCGAAAATTTCGCGCGCACAACGGTTATTAACACTCAAACGTTTGTTTAAATGTTGTATTGCAGTGTTTCAACACCCAAATATATTCAACACCCGAAACCCGAAAAAATTATTCGGGTGCATAGCCTTGAAAAAATCAAAGCAAAAGGCATTCGAGGTCATGTGGTGAAAAATCATATGACATTCAAAGATCATATAGGTAGATTGTCTTTTTACCAATGATGAGGAAAAAGTCGAATTTGATCCTTATAGAGAAAATGTTTCTATCAGATCATACAACCATGAGTTACAAACGATATAATCCAAGAAATTATGTTTCAACAGACAAGATGACAAGCGTGTAATAACGATAGAATAAATACATATGACGGAAGGTTAATGTGCTATAAAAATTTTCTTTTGATAGTAATGTTCTTTCTTCTAATATTTTCCAACTGTCTGTATATTCGTAAGGGTATACATCCTTACGTATAACGAGATGCTTTTGCGGTTTCTCTGAACTTCTCGAACCCAGGTGTTATTAAATTTTCTGCAAGTGTTGACAGTTTTGAAGGCATGAAACGGCAAGAGTCAATAAACCGTATTGTGAACTTGTTACTTATGTATTTTGAAAATTAAATTAACTATTCTTCGCTGTTTGGAATGACTGTGATTGTGTTAGTATCATATCCTAATTCAGTTATGATAAAATGAGCGTCGTAATTTTATAAGTTATGCATAAAACATGGGACAAAGTTGGGTGTTTTTAACTTCAAGTTACATGTGTGGCATAATGTATGCCTGAATTTCCCTGATAAATGGCAGCGATCTACCACTTTATGATTTTTGTTGGAAGAAATACAATTACATAAATCGCAAGTAATTTTTATTGCACGTGTTCTTTGTTCTTCTTCAGTCATTATTATAGGATTATTTGTTTTACGTAAATCTTCAACTTTTCTTGCAATCTCTGTAACTTCTTTCATGAATCTTTTGGCTAAGTCTTAGTGTGATTCATTACCACGGAAAATAATTGGTTTTTGTGGTATATTGAACTTTTCTAGTAGATCTATGGGAACGTTTTCTGTAGTCTTTACGAATATTTCATAGCTCATTGGGTCGTGCTTTTGAATAGCTAACGTATTCTTGCCTTTGTTTTCCATACATTTTATCAGAAGTGCTTTAAAGTATGCGTAAATGACTATTGGATGACGTTGAGTCTTACTCCACCTATCAAACTCTAGCATTAAAAGATATTAATTTTATTTTTGGTATTAAATAACAGGTAATGTATAAATATTAAACAACAAGATCCCGCAACAATTCCCAAAACAATCAAGAATGTTAGTTCAAAGGATTATTATGCATATCGGTTGATGATTAGATGCGATCAGGTCAACATTATTCTACGGTATCGTGAGATTTGTCAACAATTCATAGTCGACATGTATGTAAAGATGGAGAGTGAACGATAACGATACTTGCGATTCAATCAAAAAAAGGTACATGTGGAAGATTCTCAAAAAAATTATTAGATATCGGTGTTGGGAAAGTTACTATAGATGAA